TGTAACACGGAAAGCAAGAATCGGTACTGTAAGGGACTGTTATTGACAGAATACGAGCTCGTGGAACATTCTGTCAACAAGTGACTTTGTGTTCGCTGAGTAAACATGCATATAACACGAATCTTCTGCACTTCTCGTCGTCAAACAACTGCTGAGCGAGCCACCGTGACGTTTTTTTGCCTCACCACAGTAATCACTTTTTCTTTTCAGCGGAGACGATCATCTGTTTCAATCAGTGTTCCACAGATATTACCAACCAGATTGACTAGTAATTGATCGATAGCATCTGTGGAGAACTTTGAAAGGCTCTTTTTTCTGAAGTTCTCTGGCGGAAACCGGTATAGCGTTGCAACCAGACGACAACTCTTGCTCAGACACTAGTCGTAGAAAATATTCCTACAGTCCCAGATAAGTCTTTTCCAAAGAGATGCAGACAGCAGGGTTTTCAAGCAATGTGCCGACCGGGCTCTTATTGAGTGTCCTACAACTTTTGTTTTTTCTCATCCTGCATTTATTTTCTTTTTTTTTCTATTTTCAAAGCTAATCTATTCAACTGTTGCTTTAAATGGCTATAACCATTTACTACTTGAAAATATCCTTTGCAGAATAATTTACCCGCTCTCGTAGCAGGTTGGAATTCGTACCTTAAATAACTAACAGAGCGAAACATTCTTTTTGTGTGAATGAATATTCGGGTCTCATCCAGTAAGGGGGGCATGTGGTGTGACAGTTCTTGCCGGCTACAGAAATTCCAATTTTTGCAAGGGGAGGGAATCCCCGGGGTGCGTGAACCATTTCGCTTGAACTTTACACCCACCCCGGAGCTTCCCTCCCTGAAAAAAGTGGATTACTTCATGCAATATGAACTGTCGCAGCACATGCCCCCCTTACTGGATGAGACCCTAATATTTCCAGCCAACGATTAAATCGAAAACCGTCGTCTTATGCATTAGAGCCTGCTAAGGCTGCCTTTCATAGTCTGCGGGTTCCGTGCCGCCCGCGCGGACGGCTCGGACAGGGTGAAAAACGTCAACACGCGCTCCGGCGCACAATGCGCACTTGGCGCGCAGTCGGCGCCTCCCTCGATCGATAATGCTGATTTCGAAACATTTTTTCTGTATTTTGACGTTTTGTGCGCCGTTTTGCTTTTTCTTGCGGTTACTTAGCCTTTTTTGTATGGATTACTGCTTTTGCTCACTAATGAACCCACTTGGTGTTTATTGCTACTTTAAACACAGTGTATGAAACTAACCATTCTAGGACAGTTGAAAAGCAGTGATTCACACAAAAAGGAAAAGGTTCTCGCGAAAAAATACGAGAAGCAACACGGCACAAGGAGCACCAGGAAAACACAAATAGAATGTGATGAAATCGCATTTATAAACTGGAAGGCGTCGACCGGCTTTTGCTTGTGTTTTTTTTTTGGCGAGAACATATTTTCTTTTTCATGTGAATCACTGCTTTTCAACTGTTCTGGAATGATTAGGTTCATACACTGTGTTTGAAAGTAGGCAATAAGCACCAAGTGGGTTCATTAGTGAGCAAAAGCAGTAATCCATACAAAAAAGGAAAAGTTTTGGGCTAAGCAACCGCAAGAAAAAGCAAAACGGCGCACAAAACGTCAAAATACAGAAAAAATGTTTCGAAATTAGCATTATCGATCGAGGGAGGCGCCGACTGCGCGCCAAGTGCGCATTGTGCGCCGGAGCGCGTGTTGACGTTTTTCACCCTGTCCGAGCCGTCCGCGCGGGCGGCGCGGACGGCGCGGACGGCACGGACCGCAGACTATGAAAGCAGCCTAAGGCGTTCCGTCATATTGACGCGTTACCGCGTCTCATCGTCGACTGCCGCGCAACGCGCGGCCACGCGGCGCGTTTGTTTTGTTTGCATCATGATTGTTTTTTTTTTACTATTTCCTTCACATTTTCCTCGGCTCGTTTATACTGTCTAACTTTCGAAAAATAAGATTTCCGTATGGATATTTCTACGAGAAATCAGGATCTAGCACTGCATCCCGAATCGTTGACATAGTAATTCATCGCACCAGATAGCATCAAGAGAGTGTCAAACGCATGCATTATCGATTTTTCAAAACCGCCATCGCGTGTACTGTTCAGTCTGTAATTACGGCATATCAAACCATAGAAAAAGTAGATGTCTTCATCACGGCCAGCCCTGGCGTTAGGCTGATTTCAGAAATTACGATCTCTTTCCGAGGGGTTTGATACGATCTTCTCATCGTTCACACCACATCAAAACCACCCTCGTCTCAGCGTCACAAAGATCATCATCATCATGGCTGTTTCTTTACTATATGAACCTGAGACCACTCGACGCGCTCCAACCCCGCCCCATTTTCTCACCCCACTTTCATCTAGCGAGGGCGGAATTTCCCATCCCTGAAGGGATAGAAAATGCTCTAGTTTTGTCTATTTCATGCATCAGTCTTGAAAAATCTTGCCAAATTCGTTGGGGTCCAAAGCGACCCTCTTCACAAAAATTCAAAACACTACCTCACCTCCGACTCGGCCACTCGGCCAGACCCTGAATCCTAGTTCCCACTGATTTTCGTTTGCTTTACTTTGGTAAAATCGCGTCTTTTGCCCTGCCATTTGAAACTAGTTGTGTTCCACTGCCTGTCTTTGAATTATTATTTCCTTTTATAATAAAAAGGGCTTCGTTTTGGTTACAGCACCAGATCCATTCATCAGTTCACGGAAAAGACCTGTCGACTCGGTTGCGGTCATGCTCGGCAAAGAGCTGTCACTTACCTTATATTAAAGGATAAGAATGCAGCGAAAGTAGGGAAGTGTCAACGTTCATGCCGCTCGTATCTCTGTCATCTTCTTCTTCATTTACATCAGAATCTTTCAAAGTCCAATGCTAATGAAGTTGGGGGGGGGGCATCTGGTGCAATAGTCCGCGTTGCCAAAATAGTTCCTTTTTGCTGGGTAAGGAGGTTCTAAGATGGGTTACCGGTTTCGCTTTCGCTACAACCTACCCTGGTGTTTCTTCCACTTGCAACAATTGGGGTTACTGTATTTGGCACCAAATGCACCAAATGCCCCCTCGTGCTTCTCTTCACTACTGTACTATAAACTCGCTTGATCCCCAGATGTAGCCGACAATCTGCGAAGATAGTTGTACCGGTGCAATACAAGTGGGGTGGGCACGCCGTGTTTTTGAGTACGGTGGGCGCGAAATGTATTTAAGCGGAGACTACTGCTCCTACTATGGTGTCCAGGGTGAATATTGGTCGAGGATTCCTCAACGGCACGTCGAGGATTTTTGCCTGATCAGTTACGTTCTCCCGCGCGGACATTCACACTCGCCATGCGCGAGCCGTCTGTGCTCTCCGCGCGTACGTTCACTCTCGGCACTACTCTCGCACAGTAGAGAGCCATGGTCGAGGATTTCCTCGACCGTTATTCACCCTGATGGTGTCACGAAAGCTGAGGGAACTCGTGAGCCAGGGGGAGTGTAGCCAATCTAGGGAGTGAGGGGAGGGGGAGTGAGGGGAATGTATGTTGAACGGAGACTGCTTCTCGCTGGGTGAGGGCAGTCACTTGACATGCGTGAAAAGCTGAAATGTCTGAGTATTTCATAGCATCTCGTCACGTCATAAGGAGCGGACAGAAGTCCCACTTTACATACCA